GGTTCAGGGTTTTAGGGTTTAGGGGAACCTTAAGGCTCAGGAACTACCCCAATAAATGGAGAGGCCCGAATAGATAGGACTAGTAGCCTCTTATGGTCCCCCAACTGTTTATGCTTTAGTATGCCGCAAAGATCCTAATCTATTCATGGAGGCCCCGACATATTCGGTTGTAGTGGAGTTGGCAGTGGCCCTCAAGCACAGGACTCAGGCTTTAGTTGAAGCTGTGGGCTCTATATTTATTCGGGCCTCTGATACAGGGGTTGTGGAGATAGAGCTCGGGCTAGAGGGGCTGCCCTAACTGAACGCTAGGGCTTATCTAAACTCTAAACCCTACACCCAAACCAAATCGAATCCTCAGTCCTATACCCTGGAGGGAAGGCGAGCAAAAGAGACGCCACCTCAACTTATATAGACCAGTTGCAGGCTTTGGATTGGGGTCAATAGTCGGAAAAGTTAGGTCGTGATCGCAGTAAGGGTCCTGACAGAAACATGGATAAGTTCGGCAACCGTAGATAATGATGGTACAAGAGGCGTCCTGGTTCGTAGTTTGGTGCGGATACTAGAACCACTGGCCTGCTTCTATACTCGTGCCGACTTGCGCCTGCTTGCTATAATCATATTCACATCCAAGCAATGTTGCACCGACGTTGTAAACCGGATACCGAAGTCTGTTTCCTAAAATCTACACCATAGACCCTAAAACCTAAACCCCCAGTAGGCGGCATTGTAAACCCCAAGCCCCGACAAAGCCCCTAAAGAAAGGCCCCAGATTCGCATGCCCTCAATCTTACCCTACACGTCTTTCGGAAAAAAAAGGCGTGGCAAGCAAAAACATACGCGCCCAAAACCCGGCCGCGGCAGAAAGTGCTCCATCTTTAAGAGAATTAATCACAAGACAAGTTGTCTAATCCAGTTCCCAACCTCGAACGACTCTTCCCCAACTTCCTCCCTATCAAAAAGACACAAACAAGGTCGCCTCCCCGCTGAAACACACAACTAACTTTGAATCCCGAAGCCCAGAAAAGCGGGAGGTCTCAAGTTCGACCTGCGCATCTACGTCCTCGTGACCTCTTTCAGCCCACTGCGAGCCTACATCTACCGGGAAGGCCAGCTCGGGATACACGTAAAAGTGTCTCTGAGGGTTTCAACAAGGGTTTCAGCCCGGTTTTTTCAGGAGTTTGGGGTGTCATTTGTCTTTGAGTTTAGGGCTTTGGGTTTGTAGGACTTTTCAAGGTTCAGGGTTTAGGGAGGTTGGGCTTGAGAGGCTGGTATGGTGGAGGAAATACGTTTGTTTCGGTCACTAGACAATTTTTCAGGGCACTTGTTTGTGTTGGAACATTCGGTTTTGCAACTGCAGCCCCCTCAAGCCATTATCTTCTTACACATGGACATGCACGCATGCATGCGTACCTACATAAGCAGACAAGGCCATTAAACAAAAACACACACACACACACACACACACACACACACACACACATACGCTATTATTACAACTGCCTACCTACGCACCTATATACCTCGCACCCTTCCTCCCCCTCACTCCCCCCTCCCTGCCTACTTACGCAGACAGCTAGCTGGCGAGCTACCTGTAGACCAAACGAGGTGTACCCCTGCGTATCTACCTGCCTCCTTGCATGCATGCATGCATGCGTGCCGGCGGGCATGCGTACATGCATGCATCAGTACATACATGCATCCATATATGTGTTGGTAAATGCTCGCATGCATGCATACCTAGATGCAAACCAGCTAGCACACATAGGTAGATGCATGCGTACCATGCAGCATTTCCTATATTGGTGGATCCCGGTTGGTTGAATGTCCTGTATTGGGGCCCTAACCACACCCTTGCTTTTCTGACTGAGCGAGCCCTACACCCTGAACCCTAAACCCTGGTTTCGAAGCCCTAAACCTAATCCCGAAGCCCTAAACCCTAAACCCTAATCCCTAAATCCCTAAATCCTTAAACCCTAAACCCTACTTCCGAAACCCTAAGCCCTAAATCCCGAAACCCTAGACCCTAATCCCGAAACCCTGCACCCTTCGGTCCCGATCCCGAACCGGGCTCGACTTCCGCAGGGCTCACGCGTTTCGCTTCCAAGCCGTACAGCCACTGGCCTGCAGCAGCTTTCTTGGGTTTTGGTGTAGGGGGTTGACAGTGTAACATAGCGGCCTAGATAATTATCAGAAAAATTGTTGGGGGGGTTCCTCATTATAACTAGAGCATAATATACCGCAAAACCCTATTCTATTTATTAAGGCCCCTATATTAACGTTTGAGTTTGAGGTTTGGAGCCACGGTTCAAGGTTTGGACTTTGGTGTCGGGGTGTAGATTTCGGCATGAGGCTTTGGGGAAGGTCGCAGGCTTCATGGTCAGGGTGTAAAGGGATTTCAGGGCCGATCGGTTCGTTGTGTGGTTCGGTTCTGTTTCCGACACCGGGGTTTCTGCATGAGTATCTCGGGCTCAGGTATTTTCTACATAGCTCTAAGCTTTAAGCCTGAAGTTTCCGGTAAACCTCAAAGCTGGTGCTTTAAATTCTTTTTTAAGCAGTTTGCAAGGATGGGCTGCAAAGCCTCTACTTAAAGGAGAGGAGCGTGGAATAGGCATGATACAGTGTAATACATCCGCAGGTGATGAACTCGTGTTGAAAGGCCTGCTTGACCATCCTGAGGTGAGCAACCTTGCTAACTACAAAGACCTTTATTTGTATCACAGATTCGTTAAGCTCCAGCTCCCGATCATCACGAATTGAGGGTTTAGGGTCTAGGGGAGCCCGTGCGCTTGCCTGTCGGGCTTTTGGAGCCTGCAAGAGGTTGAGTGATTAGAGTCAGCCACATACCGTAAACCACCAACTCCTGTTGAGGTACAGATGAGGACTCCGGGCACTGCAAGTCTCTGCAAAGCTTCGTTTTTCGTTTATGCATGATGAAAGGAGGAATGATGCTGCTCGTGCATCGTTGTTGCATTCTCTCAAGCTCAGAGCAGCAAGGGGCTAGGCGGCTAGACACTTGCCGGCATGGCTCTGCGATTGTTGGGGCACGAAAACATGTACGTTACGTCCCAGGACATCTACAACCTACGCCTGCTCGTTCACCACCTACAGTTGCACGACACGGACGACACGACATGGGCCCAGTGCGTTCTGCCTTTCATGGCGTTGAGCATCTTCCACTGCAACGGCGCCGCAGTGGGTTCGCGCTCAACGTTTGCAATCAGCGAGACTGCACAGCTTGCCTGCTTCGGCGAAAAGAGAGACATTGTGCCTCCCGATCTCGGCACTGTGGTGGCCGTGGCTGCCGGAAAAGATCACACCTGTGCCGTCAATGCGAGTGGAGGGCTAGTTTGCTTCGGAGACAATGATTATGATGATGGTCAGTGCGATGTGCCTCTCAACCTCGGTCCGGTGGTGGCCGTGGCTGCCGGAGAATATCACACCTGTGCTTTGAAGGCGAGTGGCGAGCTGGTATGCTTCGGATACAATAACCTTGGTGAGTGCGATGTGCCTCGCGATCTCGGTCCAGTGGTGGCCGTGGCTGCCGGACAATTTCACACCTGTGCCGTGAAGGCGAGTGGCGAGCTGGTTTGCTTCGGAAGCAACAACTTTGGCGTTGGTCGTCATCGGTATGATGTGCCTCCCGACCTCGGTCCGGTGGTGGCCGTGGCTGCCGGAAGCCATCACACCTGTGCCGTGAAGGCGACTGGCGAGCTGGTTTGCTTCGGAAGCAATAATCGCTTTGGTCAGTGCGATGTGCCTTTCGACCTCGGTCCGGTGGTGGCCGTGGCTGCCGGAGAATATCACACCTGTGCTTTGAAGGCGAGTGGCGAGCTGGTTTGCTTCGGATGCAATGACTGTGGTCAGTGCGATGTGCCTCCCGATCTCGGTCCAGTGGTGGCCGTTGCTGCGGGACATAGTAACACCTGTGCCGTGAAGGCGAGTGGCGAGCTGGTTTGCTTCGGAAACAATTACTATGGTCAGTGCGATGTGCCCCCGGACTTCAAGGCATTGGTTGCGCCACGGTCCAGGAGTGCAGCCACCCACGCGAGCGATCCATCACAGGAGGTGCTGCAGCCCGTGCATCACGTCGAGCCTCCGACGGAAATCTCGGAAGAGGAGGGCGCTGCAATCGTAGCGGAGCAGGAGGCATCTTGGATTGAGCACAACATCGGTTCCGGCTGGCATGGCATCGACTTGCAGTCACGGGCATATGCTAGGTTCAGTCGAGTGGTGCATATGACTTTGCGCAATGTTCATGAGAAGCTGAACCAGGTTCTTGAACAGTCTCCTGCCTTGCAGCCATGTAGGCAGGCCCTTGATGAGGAGGGCTTGGATTGGCGCTTGCAGCCCTCTGGCGCTAAGATCTTCATGGAGCCTTGGTGCTTCCGAGCCGTCCGCAGTCATTTGTCCACCATGCGTCTCAGGCCCTGCGACATCTTCGTCTCAGAAACATTGGAGAATGAGGTCACCCGAGTGATCCGGCAGATCCCCCGCAGCCTTGGCATTGTCCCAAGAAGCTCCCAGAACATCGCCTTCGCAGACGAGAAAGAGGAAGTTGTCTTGGCCAGCCGCTCCTTTCTGAACATCCCGGCAACCGCGCTCGTCAATCCAGCCTCCGTCGCACAGTCTACCACCGAGGCGCGAACGCGTCAGGGATACCACGGCACGAACCCGCGCAGATTCCAAGCGAATCTTGCATAATCTTCCAGGCTTCATGGCGGCAGATAGGTTTCGTATCCTAGCAGACGAAACAATTTTGGAGGCCTTTCCCTTGTACAGCTGCTGTTTGCCGCAGCGCCTTTGGGGCGACTTGATTTCACCTTCCTCCGCGGGCGCGTGCGGCTGTGGCAGGGACATGGCCTCTAGCCGGAATTGGATGCAACAGCCAGCTGGAGTGCCAGCTTCATGTTTATCAGTGTAGCAGATACAGTAGGTGTCTTGTTTCTAAGTTGCGATCGTGTTTTTATGTTGCATTCAAATCGAAAACCCTCACTTCAACTGCGACATGCTGTGTGCATCCTGGCAGAAAGAACACTTTTTGACCGCCTCGCTGTTTCAGTTGGAAGTCGTTGACGTCCAACACGGAGCTGTCAATCGAGACACTAGGTTTACTTTTGGTTGGGGGCGGGCGGTACCGGATGTGCATTCTGTACGACTTGTTGATGATCGACAGGAGCATCTGGCAGACGTGTACCGACACCTCACCAACTACTCCATCAACAAGGCTCCGGGGCATTGTTGCAGGCTGTTGTTTAGGGTTTCATTCTGGTTTAGGGCTTACGTTCTGGCGGAGAAGAAGAAGCATAAAAGCACGACAGCCGGAAGCCCGAAAGAGAAGATACAGCCACCCGCTGACAGTGCGACTATCAGTTCTTGGCTTTAGGGCCAAGTTCTACAGGGAAGCAGACAGACTTCCGGGTTTGGGGATGTAGAGGTTTTGTAGGGCCTGTGGGATTTGGGGTATAGGGTCAGGTCGGAGCGTTGGGGGTCCAGTGGCATGCGGTGCAGCTGAGTGTAGCACTCTTTTTCGACAGGTCCCTTGTTGGTCTATACAGACTTTTACGAGAATGCCAAGAGCCTCAGGGCTTCAGGGTTCAGCCTTAACCTTCGAAGGTCCTAAACGGCCCTAAGCCCTGACCAGAAAACCTGTGCGTCGGATTTTTTCTAACACCCAAAACCCCCAAACTCTCTAACCCCAAAAGCCCCAAAAGCCCCAAAACCTCAAAGCCCAAACACAACCCCCCCAAACTCCCTAACCCCAAAAGCCCCAAAAGCCCCAAAAGCCCCAAAACCTCAAAGCCCAAACACAACCCCCCCAAACTCCCTAACCCCAAAAGCCCCAAAAGCCCCAAAACCTCAAAGCCCAAACAACCCCCCCCCAAACTCCAGAACCCCAAAACGCCCCAAAAGCCTCAAACAAAAACCCAAACTCCCAAAGGGAAAACCCTGGAAACCTGCCCAGGGCGCCGAGAACTTCCAGGAGAACCAGCGGGTGCAGGCGGACAACTACGGCGCCATGGCTGCGACGACCCCCAAACAGGGGCCCCGAAATCGCCCGAAACCCTCAGTTTCCTTTAGCCCTAAAGCCCTTAAGCCACGGTTTAGGGTTTAGGGTTTTGGGTTTTGCTATCCTGTAAGGCTGGACCTTGAGGAAAGGTTCCTATAGAGCTTATCTCTACATTCTTACAAGCCTTGAAGCCTCAACCTTAAGCTCTACAGCTGAGCCTTCCTTTTTTGAAGCCATGGACCCACGGCCGAGCCTACTTCAGCCAGGACCTGATGCCCCTAAAATTGAAACCCGAAGTATAACCCTAAAGCTTAAATCTTAAACCCGAAACCCTAAACCCAAACCCCTCAAGGAAAGAAGACCCTGAAACCGAAGTACAAACCCGAAGTACAGTCTCACATGCCTGGCCTGACACGCTGCGGGGCTCTTTCGCACTCGAGTCCGACGCTGAAGGCCACAAATGGAGCCTGTCTGCCCTGAACCGGCACTTGCGCTGCGTTGGTGTGGATGTGAAGCTTGGCACGACTTTGGGGTGCCGGGGGCTAGGCTTTACTCAAACCCTGACACGGTCCCTTGCAGACCATGCGCCCCGAAAGCTAAGCTTTGCCACCTCAACGTCTAATTAGTCTTTACCTAAGCCCTGACCCCGAAACTAAAACCCAGCAGCAGCCTACAAGGACCTCTGAAACCCAAAGGCCAAACCTAATTCCTGACGTGTGCTTCTTCTCAAGAGACCTACCTCAGGAACCAAAACCTTGTGTCTGTTTTGGTGGAACAATACACAAGACGCACGACCGTACACAGTATAGAAGCCAAATATGGAACCCTTAATAAACCCTAAACCCTAAACCCTAAACCAGAAGGCTTTAAAGCACTCACAACCTTCGAACCAGAAAGTCCCAACCCCCAGATATAAGCAAGGAAGGAGATGTGGAGCAGAATCATGGACCTCATCGTGAAGACGCTCCTGGGGGTAGAGCTGCTTGTGAAGCATACATGGAGTTGTTGTTCTTGTTCCGAAGGGGGGTGTGCTTTGGGGTTCAGGGTTTCTCAAGTTTGGGCTGCAATTTCTTGTCAAGGGGCGAGGTGCCACCCCCCTTGCAGGTGCCAGTTTTGGGGAATCCGACCTCGTCAGGGCCCCCTTCCCCTAGTTTCTGAATTTCATATATAGACGCTTACACACACTGTGATTTTTGGGTGTAGGGCTTTGGGACTCATGTTTGCATGTACCGAGGCCTACCTCACAATCTAACCTACACTTTTCCAGCGGCCGCAGAACTTCTAGACTACGGTTTACGTCAAGAGACTCGACGACATGTAACGTAGGGGCCTAAATAAGTACNNTTTTTGGGGGGGGGGTCCTTATTATGGTTATACTTAGTATAATGGGCCCCAAAACCCCATTCTAATTATTCAGGCCCCTACGTTGGGTGGTTCACGGTAACCACGTAACCCGACAAGCCTCCAGCCTGAGACCCCCAAGCCCTTGAGCGCTGAGCTGCTAGCCCTCGCCCGACGGGCCCAAGGACTAAACCAGTTTTTAGGGTTTAGGGTTTAGGGCTTAGGGTTTAGGGTTTAGGAGTGTCCCAAGCCAAGACCTACCTGCGGCCGAGGCCGGTTATCAGTGCGGCCACGAAGGAGGCAGCACATGGGGACTTCCAAACTGACAAGACCCAGTTTGGTGTCGCGCTTGAGGGACTGCCGTCGTCTTGGAACTCCTTGCACGTTCAGGCCTGCATCCATGAGCACAGCTGCTTCGAGCTTTACGGGTTCGATGTGCTGGTGGATGAGTGCCTTGTCCTTCAGGGCTTTCATGGGTTGGTGTTGGGGTTTGATCTTGCTTGTGGTTTGCTCTCGTGTTTGTGTTATTTACCCTTCAATCCGGCAATGATTGCTTTTTCCCTAGCAAGTACACGCTGCTGACGGGTAATTAGTCCTTAAACCAAGTGAGTCATTGAGGGGGAGAGGGAGAAAGCGAGAGAGAGAGAGAGAGAGAGAGACAGAGAGCGAGAGGCAGAGAGATAAATGTACTGCATGTACATATGTATATAAATATATAATATTAGGCAAATATGTCCTTATATACATATACAGACACAAACACACACACATAAAACCTGCATGGCTGAGATTGGAGTAAACGCCTCGTTCTTGATCGGGTGAAAGCCTCGCACTCCAGGAAGGATGACTTACTACACAATGCCATGCTACACTTGTTCCAACATTCAACTCAGGCTGGGAGAATGAGAGTTCAGATGTGGAGTTGTTCGAGGGAGATCGTGGGCCTAGCCGGATAGCCCTGAAACCCCAACCTTGAACACTCAAGAAGCCTAATGACCTCAGACTCCCTAAACCCTAAACCCTAAACCCTATACCATTACTCGAATCCTGAATATTGCGCCCAAGGAGCCTGAAGCCGTGGTTGCTGGAGGCCGCAAGCTTGGAGCTGCCGTCGCAGGATTTCAGGGTTCAACGGTCCAGTACCTCTGAGTTATGCCACATTCTCCAGGTATATGTTCCGTAACCACCCCTAAACCCTAAACCCCTAAACCCTAAACCCCTAAACCCTAAACCCTGAACCCTAAACCCGATTATGGGGCCCTTTTAAGTGAGGTGCTTCCAAAAGCAAGGAGACCCAAGAGACTTGACACCCTAAAGCCCTGAGCCCTGCTACACAAGATCTCTCCGGCTGGGGACTCTAAGGTAGGGGCCTTAATAATTACCAATACTATTTTGGTGGGTTCCTTTTTTTAAGTCTAGCATAAAGGGCCGCAAAACCCTATTCTAGTCATTAAGGTCCCTTTTTGCATCATCTACATGCCCTTACCCCTGCAGCCTCTCTACGCTTCCGGTCGACCCTGACTTACCCTCACTTGAGTCTTGTCAGGTGAACCTGAGCCCAAGCATGCAGGCCGGAAGTGGATTTTTCAGTGGTGCAGGGCAGGGTCTGGCGAGCTTGAAGTCTCCGGGTTTGGGGTTTAGGGTTTAGGGTTTAGGGGTTCAGGATTTAGGCTCGCGGAATGTGCGGCTTGGGGTCCAGCACCTTCGAGGATGCAGGTTTGCGAAGAATTTCCGGCTTGAAGGTTGAAAGATAGCGTACACATGTAGGTAACTCACAGTTTCTGGAGAATTGCATGTTAAAGTTTAGGGGGCAAGTTCGGGATTTTGGGTGTTAGGATCAAGGTGGAAGTTTCAAAGTTTAAGCCAATGGGGTCCAATGGGTTTAGACGGTTTAGGGTTTAGGGTTTAGGTTTTTAGGGTTTAGGGTTTAGGGTTGCAGTAGTGGTATGATACCGGCCGCAAGTATGTATTCGCGTCATCCCAAACAGGCAGACTCGCCCCTGGACAAGCAGATCAAGTCGACCTTGCTTACGGATGCCTTCAACCTGATCCTCGGTCTTCAAACTTGTAGGGTTTAGGGAAACCCTAAACCCTAAACCCTAAACCCTAAACCCTAAACCTTTAGGGAAGCTTGGCAGTATTCAGATTTCGGGTGCAAATGGTTGCGGGGCTCCCCCACACCTGCCCCTAGCCCTCCTTGCAAGACTCAAGGAGCTCGAAGAGCGGAGGGGCCTGATATAGACCCAAGCTTGTCGGATCCGCCGGCAAGTAGCAGCACTTAGTCTGAAACGGGTTCTAAGCCAGTGGAAACAACTACAAAGCAGCCATTACAAACCTCTAAACAACGCAATGACAACCTATGATTATAACGCCCTCACAACACAAGCAAAGCCCCTCTTGACGGGCGTCTTCAACAATGCAGGGCTTTGCTCCCAGGATAGGCGTGAGGAAGCTGGACGCCTCCACGCTGACGTCGGCTCGACTGAGGGCTCGATTCCTGTGCCCCGGTGGACTTTTTTAAGGCCCCAATAGACAGGGCCGGGTTCCTTAAGGGTTCCTTTCAGGGTCTTTCTCAGGCGGATCCTGCAGTAGGATGTGCTGTGGGGGCCTCAATGATGAGAGTGGGTTTGAAGGGCTTGTTATGGTACAAATATGTAGGCGGTCCACTCACCCCTGGCTTTTGCCAACATTGATCTATCTGGGCTTAAGGTCGTAAGTGTCCCACGCCCCAACTTCACAACTCGCAGCTTAAAGTAATGGGGCTTCTGGTGGCCTAATGTTGTGTGTGTCTGCTGGCAAGGTTCAAACGCCATGTGGAAAAAAACAAAGTGTAACAACAGTCGTCGAAAGGCTGCGCTAGAGGAGCAAGGGTCGAACGACTTACCGGCAACATGGCTCAGCGCTTGCTGAATGACAGCAGCCACTACGTTACTCCACGAGACGTGTACAACCTGCTGTTGCTCGGCCACCGCACTGGTCGGACAGATTGGGCCCAGAGTGTTCTGCCCTTTCTGGGATGGCGCCTTTTGAGAGCAAGCGCCGTGGCCGCAGGTGACTGCGCAACATGTGCCATCAGTCAAGCTGGACAGCTCGTCTGCCTCGGCGAAACTGAAGATGCATTGCCACCAGACCTGGGTCCGGTGGTGGCCGTGGCTGCCGGAGAATATCACACCTGTGCCGTGAAGGCGAGTGGCGAGCTAGTTTGCTTCGGAGGAAGCAATGGCTGTGGTCAGTGTGATGTGCCACCAGGCTTCAGGGTTCGGCTTGCCCCACAGTCCATCGGCACGACCACACCCGATCCAACGCAGGAGGTGCTGCAGCCCGCGCATCACAGCGAGCCCGCTGCCGACATCTGGGAAGAGGAGAGCGCTGCTATCGTGGCCGAGCAGGAGGCATCTTGACCCTAAACCTTAAACCCTAAACCCTAAACCCTAAACCCTAAACCCTAAACCCTAAACCCTAAACCCTAAACCCTAAACCCTAAACCCTAACAAACCCTAAACCCTAACAAACCAACACCGGCTCCGGTCGGCATGGCCACGAGTTGCCTCGGATGAAGGCTGGACTCACTCGAGGGCGGGGGATTTGACATTGAGCCGCTCGGATTGGCGGGTGAATGTGACTTTGGAGCAGTCCACGGCTTTGCGGCCATATCGGCAGGGCCTTCAAGAGGAGGGCTTGGACTGGTTGCAGCCCTCTGGTGCCAAAATCTTTCTGGAGCCTTGGTGTCTTCGCGCCATCCATGGACAGCTGTCCCCGATGCGGCCGAGGCCCTGCGATGTGCTGGTCACCGAAGATCTGGAGGGAGAGGTGATGCGAGCTCTCCGGCAGCTCCCTTACAATCTGCGCGCGCTCCCCAGAAGCTCCCAGAACATCTCCTTCACAGACTCACAAGGAGGAGCAGTGTTGGTGAGCCGTACCTTCCTAAACATTCCTCCAACCACCCTCGCCAATCCAACCTCCGTTGCGCAGCCTACCACAGAGGCACGAACGGCTCAGGGGCACCACGGCACAAACCCGCACAGATTCCAGGTGCAGATCTATGCCATGATTCCTGCTGCCACATTCGATCCTAGCTCACACTTGACGGAGCAATTCTGTATGGCTGTTGCTGGTTGTCACAGGGCCGCGGAGTGACTTGCTTTCAGCTTCGCTCCAAGAGCATCTGTGTCACCGAGCATGGTCGCGAGCCGAAATTCGAATGCCGTGCTTTAGTTTTTTTCCGAGAATGTTTCTCGGACTTTGTGAATCTCCCTGTGATCAGTGATGTGTCCTTATGTTCAGTGGTGTTGGCAGCATTGCAGAGGGTCTTGAATTGTATTGTCTTTAGACACAGGGCCGACGGATCGAAATGCAGCACCAGAGAAGGGCAGCATGACAAGGCCGGTTGGTAGGCAGCATGCTGGTGAGGAATGAGGCGGTTCTAAGCTGCTTTCTTGCTGCCTCTTTCTTACTCTTGCGTTGTCCCAGACGGGCGACTCGCTTTCAGCTTCTTCCGCATGGGCAGCTGCAAGAGCGATTCGGTCAAGTTGCTTTCGTCTGCGCTGCAAAATCTATCCGACAATGCTTGAGCATACAGTTCATGAAGTAAGTCACAGCAGCAAAAGGCCTTCTGTTGGCCAGAATCAAAGCCACTGGTCAGGATGTCTTCCCGAAAGTAACCCCCGAACCCCAAAGCCGAATACGCCGTCAAAGCCTCCCGTTAGTTACACCCGCCTTTGGACCCAGACTGCGAGTTCCTGCAGGGGCGGTCTCGGGCTTCACCCTCCCCGATTGGCAGCTTCAATCCTGAGTCATCTTGACCCGATTGAGAGTGTAAGTGAGGCTGCAGAGTTGAAGACTCTCCTTCTAAAACCCCTTCCCACTCCGAAATCGGGGAGAGAAAGCTTCTCAGGTACATGAACAAGCTACAGAAGTCGATGCCCTCAAAGAGTAGCAGTCTCCTGGGCCATCGACAGGCAAGAGCGTCGTGGGGGGGTTGGGGTTCAGGCTTTTCCTGCCTCTTACGGCTCAGGCCTGCAATGCTAAAGAGTGCACCCTGCGTGACCCCGGATTTATTGGAGTTTGCGATCAGGATCTGACGGGAATGTGATTTTCACGCCATCGGAGTTGCTGAACAAGTAACCTTATCCTTTCTTAAGGCTTATGTAATTCAAGAGGATCTTTCCATACTTAGGTGGTCACTGGAACTGTGGCCAAGCCTCTGTGCAACGACACTTTCTAGGAACCGTCGGAGGCTCGCAGGATTAGCGACCCTGAGCACCATAGTTTCCGGCACTGTGAAATGCCTGGCTTAGAGTTTCGGCTTTAGGGGTTTAGGTTTGTAGAGTTTCGGATCAAGGTTTAAGGTGTAACAGTGTAGGGTTAATTAAGCGAAGCGCTTGGTCACTGCTCCCCAGTATACTACTCGAGTAAGGAACCGTTCAACTGTATCTTGCAGGGAAACCCAAGGTCACACCCTAAACCCCAAACCCTAAACCCTAAACCCTCCCATACCTGACGAGGATCCGCTCCGCCGTCCTGAGACCGAGGAGAGCGAGGCGCGTGAAAGGAATCATCATGTTTCAAGGAACCCTCATAGGAGCCCTTGTAGGGTTGGGTTTCTCAGGACTCAGGGCTGAAAAGGTGTCTATGTCTATGGTTTAGAGTCTAGAGAGTATAGTAGGATTTAGGTCTATGAATATCGGCTTTTACTTCATGTAGCGAGGATGTAGGCGTTGGGGTGCAACTTTGTCGAGGAGGTGGCGAATCCAGTGCAAAACCTGCAAGCTTTCAGGGTCCCACGGCCGGGCTGCAATCTGAGAGTTTTAATTTCCATCGTTTAACATAGGGCCCTAAATAATTACCCATACGATTTGTTGTTTTTTTTTGGGATGGGGGGGGGTCCTTATTATGGTCATAGTATAATGGGCCCCCAAACCTTATTCTAATCTTGCAAGCCCCTAGATCAGGTTATACCGTATTGGAGAACTTCGGTTGAGCAGCCCTGAAAGGAAACCCCTCATACGAGACCGCGAGAGCAACTTTTATCGGCACCCTTGAAGTGGACCTGGAAAGGAACGTTCGTCAGAGAACACAGGAGCCCGTAACGAAAACCCGGAAAGGAGGCCTAGCATATGCATATATGCTTATTATATACCAAAATGCACCCACATGTTCTGTACGGGGGGGGGGCTTGTAGGGTGGAGATTTTGGGAAGTTGCATGTCCTTTTGGCGTAGATAGCTTCAAACTTGGGGTTTAACCCACCCTACCCGGAAACTTTGTAGCGCCTCAATATGATCCGTAAAGGGGCCCGCAACAGAAAGCAGTTATCACGTTTCAAGCCGGGTGTTCAATAAGAAAATCATGGTTTCCTGCCTGTGGCAACAGAAACTCAAGGTTTGCTTGAAATCCCTTTTACTAGTACTACAACCTTAGAAGAACAGCCTTGCAGAAACCCCCCTAAACCCTAAACCCTAAACCCTAAACCCTAAACCCTAAACCCCTAAACCCTAAACCCTAAACCCCTGAACCCTAAACCCCTTTAAGGGGGCTTTTTGTAAGGCACTTGCCCGTTCTGGCTCCCTAAGTCAGGGAGCAGCTGGCGAGGACGGAGCCTCGTCGCCGCACTGGGCTCGGAAGCGCCCGGTGTTCAAGGGCGGATACGCAGAGGCTTAAGAACAAGGGTGCTACAGGGTCTATACATACACATATATATATATATGCATATATGCATATAATAGTATACATATATATATATATATATGCATGCATATAACGGCACCAAAGAGCGTTGTAGTGTGTCAGAGGGGGAACTGCTACGTGGAAGAGGCTTTTCGCTGCGTTATGATCGTCATGCTTGTTCAGATCTCTGTGTCACATGTTTACGCAGCTTCGGGAATGCTGTACCTGTGACCGAGTTAAGGGTTTAGGGTTTAGGGTTTAGGGGTTTAGGGTCAAGGAGCTGTTGTACTTCATCGTGCCAGATGTCCTAAACACGCAGCCCAAATCCTGCACCATCACCCTTGAATCCAGAATTTCTGAATCCCACACCAGAAGTCGCGAGCCCTAAGCCCAAAAGTCTAAACCCTTAAACCCTAACGATTCTAAGTCAGAAATCCCCCCTTAACAGATAAGGTAGTTGTTGTTGGTTTCGGGCTAAGGGCTTTTGGCTTTAGGCTTGCGGGCTGATTGTGGCTTGGAGCTTCGGCAGCTTGGGGTTTTAGGCTGGGGATGGGGCTGTGGTTCCTGGTGTTCCACACTTTCTTACAACCTCCAAGCTACTTTCAACGGCAGGACTTCAAGGAAAGGGAGATGCCCCAAGAACGACGTCCTCGGCCTCGATACTATATTCACTATAGCGCCTTCAGCCCTGAACTCATCAAACTCCGAATCCCTCGCCGCTGCCGAACACCATTCTGAATAGCAGCAATCACTCTGCGAAGACAGTAGATTATTATTATTATTATTATTACTATTATTACTATTACTATTACTATTATTACTATTACTATTACTATTATTATTATTACTATTACTATTATTATTATTACTATTATCATTATTAGTAAAGGCCCCGGCCTCCTCGTCGCTTCTTCAGCCACAAGCGCCAGGTGCAGCTCAGGTTTCGGTCTTTTTCGTTTTTGGGACTTTGCTAAAGGTTGGGTATTGGAGAACTAAAACTCTACACCTAAACCCCTAAACCCTAAACCCTAAACCATAATTGGAGAACTAAATTGTAACCTACGGCACCTCCAGGTTTTTGTTCGTGCTGTTGAGTGGCTTTGCGGGTATTTGGTGACGGTAGAGCTTCAAGGTCTTAATGCATCGGTCGGTGGTTTAGGGCTTTATGGGGTCACAGTAGTTTCTGGTAGCCAAGCCGGAAACTTGTGACTCTGTTTTTGGGTTATATAGCCCTGTACTTAAAGCGCTCGAGTTTTCTACTGGGGCCAGGGCCCTCAGCAGTTACGTCCCGAGATCGTTGAGTTTGCCTAAACCCAAAGCCCAAGACTGTCAACCTCAAATCCCGAACCCCAAACCCAATACCCAAAGCCCAAAACCTCTATCAAAAATCCCAAACCCTGTAATTACACTCAGCCCTCAAGAGTGTTCACCAGTGCAGCGCGAGAGTGCAGTCGCTCACGTGGGCTCTTTAGTTCAGAGGCCACCGTCTTTTCTGGTATGTAGAGCCGAATCTGCCGAAAGCAGCTGTACAATCCATCAGCAGCAGATCTAGAAACAAATCCATCTCCCCCACCCAACAACAAGAGAAAGAACTGCTCTGCAGGTGGCTTTAGACATGCTCGGAGAGACACAGCTCAAGCTCTTAGGCGACACGCTGCAAGAGCACCTCGTCAAGTGTTCCACATCTTCGGGCTTTGAGGGCTCTAGGCGTTTTCAGGCTTTGGGGTCTTGGATCAGGGGATTTTAGAAGTTTGCCTTGAGTCCAGCTCGATGGTTGCGAGCTTTAACGTTTAAAGGTCTCAGATTTTGTGGTGTTTCAGCTTTCGGGGTTCGGACACAAGTTTTAGTTTATGAGGCTTCAGCTCAGGGTCCTGAAGCCCAAGGTCCCTCAGCTAAGCCACCTTCTCTGGATCCGTTCTAGCTGAGGCGGCTTTTGTGGGTTCGGTGCAAGTTGGAGCATAGCAACGTTAGCAGCAGCAGTCCGATACCTATCTGGGGCCCCGCGGTGGAGGGACCTGACTGCTTGACGTCTCTGCATTGTTCTTGCACCATCCTGAATATTACATATGGGTGGTTGTCAAAATTATGGTCCCTTTTTGGGTCCTTATTGTAATACGGCACTTATTATTTAGGGTACCCTTTTTGACAACTACCCGTATGCAAGGGCTGTTACTAATATCACCGTGAATGCAGCCCAGACTTTAGGCCCAAAGCAGACAGAGAGCAGCTCACAGTGAGCAGACGTGTAGCAAAAGCTGATGCAGTTGGGGCCCTGCTGTGGATGTTCTGAACATGCGGAACGGTACATGTCATTCTGGAAAGTAGGACGCCGAGACCATAAGGTTCTCCAAGTAAGGCACACCGCCGGATGCCCGATACCCTCAAGTCAGTCATTCTTGTGCGTCCTTCCGGTTTTGTGCAACGTATTCCCTGGCATACTTCAAGGTCACTGCGCTGCAACAACTTTATTCGCCTGTACCCGACGCCCTTCACGCTGCGCCGCTACGAAGCTGGCATGCATTTTGCGAGCTCGGAACCCTTTGCTCGATAGTCCTGCCACTTTTGTGCATCTGCCTCTATATATGAGTTACTTCCCAAGAAAGACCGCGAGAAGAACGAGGGTGTAGGCTACAGGCATATAAGATTTAGAGGCACCATCCCGGGGCAAAGCAAGACGAACTTCACTCAACTGTAAAATTATCTCTACTGCTTCAAGCTGCATGAAATGGTTTTCGGATTGAGTTTTGGGCGTTATTTTCAAGGGCTCGGGGCAGTGAACGCAACTTCCAGCAGCCGTTGTTCAAGTCGTCTCGATATTTCTAGCAATACCAAACTCCATTCGCGTGCAACGCCAGCAACCGTACCCTAAACCCTGAACCGGTCTGAGTCATGTCACGCCCGGCATGCCGAAAACGCCCGATCCCCAAGCGCTTCAGCTCTAAAGCCACATCCCCGCCTTCAGTCCCTCAACCCGAAAATGAGAACATATTATATACATATATATCATTATAACTTCATTATATATCTATATATCCTGTAAGCTTATTAACTATAAAGTCTGTGTACCCTTCAGTCCTAACCCGAATTTCCGACCCAACGGCCTTAGACCCATAACCTCAAACCCGAAATAAACCCTAGCCAAGCACCGTACACCGAGCTTCTTGAAGCGAAGCTCAGGAGGGCATTTCACAGCTCAGGACCCGCGGGAGGGTCGGGTTCAGGGTTTTGAGGTTCTGGAGTTTCGCGACTGCTGATATAAAGGGGCTTGAACACTTGGCCATAGTAGGGCTCTTGAAGCCTTTTGGTGTTTAGTTTAGCACTTTCCAGTTCAGCATCTTTGGGGCTTAGGGCTGTAGGCTGTAGAGTTTCAGTTAACACGGCTTAGTTTAGCTGTCAACGCAAGTATGCACGTATCGTTGAGATGAGCACTGGTAACCTCCAAGAAGAGGCCCGAGCTCCTCCGACGCTAGAATCCTGACATGCGTCTGCAGCCCTCAAATAGCCCTTCACGAGACATCGCGGAAGGATGCAGGAAGATGAGTTCCGCGCGCAGCTTCTCGTTGCGGTGCCTCCTGCGCAGTTGCTTTAGGCTTGGAAGTCTTTGGGGGTGAAGCTGCTTCCACCGTTCAAGGCTCGCAGAAAGTGGTCTGCTTTGGGGTTATTGTCGCAGCGAGCAGGAGCTGGGCAGGGTGCTCTAAACACAGGACCCGGAAAACCCTGACACAATTTCATTTACCCACAACACTCGCAGACCTTGTAGACCCTAGTTTAGAACTCCACGAAAACCCTCCAGAACCCCAAACCCTCTAAATGGGTAGTTCTCTAAATTAGAGTCTCTTTCTGGGTCCCCAATATAGTACGGCACCCTTATAAAAGGGACCCTGGAAGGGACCCTACTTTAGAGAACTACCCTAAATCCTAAACCCTAAACCCTAATCCCTAAACCCTAAACCCTAAACCCTAAACCCACATAAAGAACTACCCAAATCCTAAACCGACAGAGCCTTGCTCTGGGAGAAGCCTCAGGTGCTGTACGCGCGGCAGCTGCCAACCTTCTGCAGGGAGCCGCATCCGCCCGAGGAAGAGCCGGAGCTCATCCAGGACGACCAGGGGTTTAGGGGCTTAGGGTTCAGGGTTTAGGGTTTAGGGCCGGGTTCAGGGTTTAGGGTTCAGGGTTCAGAGTTTAGGGTTTAGGGCCGGGTTCAGGGTTCAGGGTTTAAGGTTTAGGGTCTAGGGTTCAGGGTTTAGGGTTCAGGGTTTAGGGTTCAGGGTTAAGGGTTCAAAATTTAGGGTTTAGTTTGGCATCGGGGATTAAAAGCTCGTCTACTGTACAGTTCCCCCTAAAACGTTCCTAGACTCTCTAAGGGTTCCACAGGTTCCTGTACAACGGGGATTTGGGGCTTGGGTGACTCGTGGTTCGGGCATAAAGAGCTTTGGAGTTTAGGGTTAGGGCTCACTGTGGACCACGGTTTGGGGTTTAGGTTTCAGGGTTGGGGCAATTTTGGGGTTTAGAGTTTCGATTGGAACACTCTCTTTCTCAAGCGCCTTGGAAGATAGAGGATCGCGGCTATAACCCTTATCGGCCAATGGCTACCCGATAAATTTGCCAGGGCCATTGACCCTAAGCCTCTATGTAGTCTCAGGGCGTATCCATGAATATCACGGTCGCTGGACAGAAACATGTTTTTGTGAGGCTCCGATACATCAAAATCCCACCCCCACCCTCTCCAATCCTACAGACGAAACCCAAACCCGAAATCCTGAACCCCAATCCCAAGACCCCCAGCCACATCCGAAAGTCGCATCGACCGAAGCAGCTATCTGCGCTTTCAGAGGAGACGCCTGCGGACGCGGCAGAAGCCAAGAAGGCCGGGTGTGTAGGTTTTTTCGGGTGCTCATCTCGGATGTTGCTGAACAGTCGGCGTACCCTAAATTCGAGGTTTTGGGCAATTTGGCAAGCCCCATGACAAAATGTGGGCTCGCGATTCAGGTGAGTTCGCGAATTTAGGTGTTTTTCTTTGGGCGGGGGTCTGTGTAGAGATTTGCTACGATAATTATGGCGACCCACTTTCTGAGACTGCCGTACGTTCTCTTAGGCTTTGGTTTGGTTGCGTGAAGTGTTCGGACTGTTTTGGAGCATGTCATAGCTGCCGTAGCGGTCCTTCATCCGAGACTCCCTACACTTCAGCCGACCCTTGTCCCTAACCCAAAGCATGAACCTCAAGCCGACATGTTATGGCAAACCACACGCCCCATAGTAGAGGGGCATCAATAATTACCTATACCAGTTTGGGGTTCCTTATTATATTTGCAGTATTATATACCCAAGACTCTATTCTAATTTTTTGAGGCCCGTACATTACCCAGAACATCTTTTGGAAGCATCATCCGGGCGCGCACAGGGCTCAGGGGCCCGTTGCTTGAACAACGCAGCCAACGCTGGAGTTGTCGGAGCTGTCATAAGTCAGAAGACGTCTTGCGCAACAGCTGCTTCCCAGGTGATCCAGCTCCCCAGCACCAGCAACATGAAGATCATGGAGGAGGCACTGCAAACCCTGATTCTTGGCTCTATGTACTGAATATATATGTTGTTCTTGATCAGTGATTTTGGCCCGGAAACATTCCAACTTGAGGGTCCTAACTCACCTAACCCTGCAAGCTCTAGCCCAAACCCTCACACCCTTGATCCATAGTCCTGAGTTATCAACTTAACTGAGACCAGCTTTCCCTGACAAAGACTCTGTGATCAATCTCAACAGCGCCAGCAGTTCACGCCGCAGCTAGGGCTTCCAGGAAGCCGGAAGTTCATCGAATCGCTCCATCCATATACATATATATATATATGATGGAAGTTCAACACTTTAAGACAAAACACACAAAATAGGTAGGTACATCCGGGGGGGGGGGGTTAGCATATATATATATATATACACACGCAGAAAGCGTCGCAAATACACACACATACATACACATGCATATTTACATATACATATTATGTGTATATATATATATGTAAACACACACACACACACACACATACATACATACATATGCACATATGTTTAGGAGTCTGGTACATTACCTACATTGGCCTGAATCATTACGAACAGTTGTCCTTAGGCTCCTCCTCCAATTCGAGCTGTACGATACCATACCCCAAAACCCTGTTCTACTTGTGCAGACCCTCTCTTAGCACATGTGGAAGAGCCCACGGGCACTTCGCACGGGTTGAATTTGCAAAATCGATCTGAAGGGCGGATTGCATCAGGCAGCCTGAGGCTCATGGGAAGGACCCTGAATTATGTTGGGGCTTAGACTCCCTTTGTGTAGCAGAGCATATATATATATGTATATATATCTATGTATATGCGTATATGTGTGTGTGTATATATATATATGTATACACATAGTTATCTGTATGTATGTGTATATGTATATATATATATATATTAATAGGCTTTGTGGTTTTGGGCTTAGGTTTGCTTTTACCCAAAACCCAAGTGCGACCAAGCAGCTAAACCCAGGAAGGTGCTCGGCAGCAAGATGTCCTCGCAGCTGTTGCTGATGGAGTACTTGGTGCGTCTGCTCAACATCAGCCTCTCCGTCTGCAGAAATCTCAGTCCTGCTCAGACCCAACATTCCCCCAAGTTTTCTCCGAAAGCCCTAAATCTAAACCGACCCTGAAGCCTTGAAGCCTGACCTACAGTCTCCATTGTAGTTCCTTTTTGGGGATACCTTATAAAATCCTTACTGTATGGTTGGTTAAACCCAAAAAAGGGAGCTACAATGGAGACTATAGGTAAGTTCTTAAACCCTAAACCCTAAACCCGAAACCCTAAACCCTAAACCCTAAGAAGACAAGATCGCAGCTCCGAGCCCGAGGCTCGAAGTTGAGTGACGCCGCCCGGCGGAAGTTGGAAAGCCCGCAGCAGACCGCCATCGCAGGCCTGGGCTCAGGGTTTTGGGGTTTAGCGGGTTTGGGGTTTAGGGTTTTAGGGTTAAGGGGTTGAGGGTTTAGGGGTTTAGGGGTTCAGGGTTTAGGGTTTAGGGTTTAGGGGGTGGAGGGTTTAGGGGTTTTGGGGTTTAGGGGTTCAGGGTTTAGGGTTTGGGGGTTTAGGGGTTTACGGGTTTACGGGTGTAGGGGTTCAGGGGTTTGGGGGTTTAGGGGTTTAGCGGTTTAGGGGTTTAGGGGTTTAGGGGTTTGGGGGTTTAGGGTTTAGGGGTTCAGGGTTGAAGGTTTTGGGGTTTAGGGATTTGGGGGCTTAATACTTTAGGAGTTTAGGGGTTTGGGGGTCGGGGCAGGATGGCAGCCGGGGCCAGGGACCGGATTTCAGGATTTATTGGCATGCGGGCAGCAAGGAAGCAAGTAAGTGAATAACAGTTGTTTTTTTAAGTAAGTGCTTAGTAAGTAAGTAAGGCCCACAGCTATATTTGAAGAAGCCCCCTTTTGTGATTGCGGAGAACACCGGCTCCGGGGTTCGACCATTGATCGAAGCCTAAACCCCCAGCCCTGTCTAGACACCCCCAAGCCCAAAACCTGACAGCGCATCCCCTAAACCCTAAACCCCGGACCCTCAGCCCTAAACTCCTAAACCCTAAACCCCTAAAACCTAAACCCTAAACCCTAAACCCTAAACCCTTAAATCCTAAACCCCTAATCTAAAGCTTGAACCGAATCCTGCAAGCCGACTCCAAAGTTTGAAAACCTACCCGACCTGAAGAGGTCTTCCAGAGCCATGGGATCCCACATACCCACCACCTCACAGCCCAATACCCTAATGTAGGGGCCTCAATAATGACCAATACCTTTTTTTGAAGGTTCCTTATTATAGTTACAGTATAATTAATGGGCCCAAAACCCTATTCTGATTATTAAGGCCCCTACATCAACCCTGACGCCCGAAACAAAGTGTCAACTGCAGGCGTCATCTCGGTATTCCGGCAGCAACTGTCGCTCTGGCTCCGTGGATCAAAGAAACAGCCACCTCCTCCACAAAACGTGGTGAAGAAAGGCTTCGTGGAGGGCTCCCGGTTTAGGATTTAGGGCTAAGCGTTTACGGTTGAAGATTTAGGGTATATAGGGTGTAGGGTTAAGGATCGCAGTGATTAATTGGGGCCTCGAAATTTTGGGCTTCGGGGTCTGAGGAGTTCGGGTTTCCGAACTTGGAGCTTTAGTGTTTGCTGCAAATCACCCGGCTTCCGCTTTAGGGGTGATGGTGTTGATGGGAATTTTGGGAGATGGTTTGGTATGGCTTTTCATGTGAAGGGTCATTTAGAGCTTGCGGATTCTGCGTCCCTCCACCCTGCTAAACGGATCATGGGGCTTAGTCAACATGGTTGTGCAGTGTCTGTTGTGGTCTTCAGACTATGCGGATCCACGGCTTTGGGGTTTTATTTACAGCTGGTGTTCTTGATTTTGGCTTGGGCTCAGGGTTTTCAGGCATGAAGCTTTATGGATTAGGTATTATGGTCGTTCGGGGCCAGGTCTGTGATCACCCCAAACTCCAAGAAAAAACCTGCGACGCCACAGGCCCGAGACATGCTAGACCAACCCACACCCTAAACTCCAAGCCCTCTCAAAAGCCAAACCCCCCAAACCCTGAGCCCGATATCGCAAAAAAGCAACCCTCAAGACCTAAAGTCCACAGAAATCCAGAAACATTAAACCCTATAGATCCCAAAACCCTCAGCCGTTCTTTCCTCCAGGCGACGTCTTGGAGGAGGCTGAGGATGTTTGCTTGCAGGCCTCTCAGAGGGGGCTTACGCATTTCACGAGGGTTCGAAGGTGTTTGGGGCCTTTTCCGGTTTAGCTTTAATCGCTTCACCCTTGAATTAAACACCCCGCAATGATGAAAACACGTTGGGCCCAATCCTCCCGAAATCATCCCTGCCCTTCAAAACCATTATAGGGGGAAGGTTTCGAGGTTTCAAATACCCTTAGAGCACATCAAGAGCAAGAGCAGGAGCAAGAGCAAAAGCGGAGCATCAGCAAGAGCAGCAGCAAGAGCTAAGCAAAAGCAAGAGCGGGAGTAAAAGC